CCCCAAAACCCCAAAACCCCAAAACCCCAAAACCCCAAAACCCCAAAACCCCAAAACCCCATGAGTGGAGGATGAACTGAAAGTAGATATATGAATCTTTGAGTGTCCATATTTTGGTGTCGTCATATATAACTATTCATTTCTTTGCTCTGCATGTTCTTCAAACACTTCTCCGAGGTCAGGGAGGTAGAGTTGTGTATCACCAATGATAAACCCGTAATGGGACATCTCATAATATTGGTAAAACACCAGATCATCACCTATTAAATCAGCATACCATTCGTCATCTTCATGCCCATAAGACAGATCAAGCGATGCCATAAACATAGCGACCGGGTTATCAGTATTTTCGAAAGGAATCAGAGGAGGATTTTCTGAACCATACCTTTCTAGATTCTCCTCAGATCCATAATCATAATATGTTACTTCCCCAGATGAAAAGCTCTGAGTCAAATGATTATTTAACCTCGGTGGGAAGAGATCTCGATTGAGAAGGTACCTATTTTGAATCCCAGAAATAGTATCTGTGAAGGGGTTGATCTCTCCGTTCCATATTCCATCTATGAAACTACAAATCAGGGGGATGTTCACGCATATAGTCCTGTGAATAAATGTTAGAGCAGCTGGACTCATGACATCCACGCCCATTGAAGCAAGCATATTGTTCATACCAGTGGTGTAGCTTGCAATTGCAAAGATTGGGGCGTTAGAATGAGCATATGATGGTATGAAAGCCATTAAAACTCCTACATTAACATTTTCATTAAAATATTCAGGTTCGATGGCCATCGCATAGGCTAATGCAGCTGCCCCATTATGGAACCCAAGGACACCAACAGTCCCATATCCAGTAGAGTCCTTGATGGTGGTGATATCAGCCATGTAATCTTGTCTGTAAGACACTAAGTCATAGTCCCAGTAACCTGAATCTGGATCATCAGGGTCAAGCTCAACATGGTCTTGACTATGTATAGTTCCTCTCTGGTTGGAGATCCATACATCAAACCCTTGGCTTGCTAAGTTAAATGCAGGGGAATTCTCAGGGCCTAGATGAGTGAACATCTCAGCTGTAAGAAGCACAGACGGAATCAAATATACAGGTGGTTTGTTCGGAACGCCTTGATTATCTGGAGCATATGGAATTCTCATCAGTGTATTAATATACCCATCTTCAGTAGTAACTTGGTATTCTTCATAACCAAATCCGTACCGGTTTCATCTCACACTCAAGTCAGTATCACCATCAAGCTGAGCTAGTGTAGGACCTCAGAGTAGCAATAAGATAGCAACTGCTACACCAAAATGTTTAGTACGTTTTAACATTATTAATTTCTCTAATTTTCAAGCACGCTAAATAGCACGGGGTTTTGGGGTTTTGGGGTTTTGGGGTTTTGGGG